AGCAGGAATCCCTAAGCAGTGGAAGCACTATTTTAAGAACTGGTAATTAAGCTTAAAATAAAAACTTTTAAAAACAATTCAAAAATTCAGTAATTAATTAGTTGCCTGTATAAAAACAATAAGCTGCTGGAAAATAAAAGACAAAAAGATTCTACTAACAGCAGCATTAAAAAAATAAAACCCTAGTAATGCCCTCAACAACAAAAAATGTGCAGAACCTATATGCACAAATCTTTAAAACTTGACTAATGAAATACAATATTTAGAAAAATGTAAAGCACATCACATTCTTAGATAAGAGTTCTTGATATTGTGAAATTTTCAGTATATCCCTAAATTGGTTCCCACATTTCTGCTGGGAGGAAAGGGGTTACTCTTAATAAAATTACACCAAAGTCTATCTAAAACAAGCACTGAAAAAGGAAAGTTTTGAATGGGAGTAGGGAATAACTAGAATACACTATCCCTTACCAAATAGTAAAAACTTATTTTAAAGCTACAGTAATCATTAAAAAAGACATTTTATAGGAAGAGATAGATTCCCAAAATAAGACTAAATCATTTAGGAAATTATAAATAGAGGGATAAATGGATTATTTTTAAACAGTACTGGGACATTTAGATAATTGAGGAAAATGAAAATGGATTTCTTCAAAAAAATTCATGAATGATTCAAACTTTAAAAAAATAAAGATTGTAAGTGGAAGCACAAGTAAAATATTTATAAGGCCTCTGTAATAAAAACAAAAAACAAAAAACAAAAAACCCAAAAGCCACAAAACAAAAAGTTTCATAAACTTATGCTACCTAAAAACTCAAATATGATAAGCAAAACAGAACCACATACAAAGAAAGGGTGAAACACAGTTAAATTCCCAATTTATAATATATAATAATTTATAATATTCTCAGGTGAGTTAGTAAGCTAGTTGAACAAGCTCATAAGGAAAAAAAAGAATCAGTATAAACTACATGAATGGGTAATTCACAAAAAAATAAGTGTAATTTTAATAATATATGTCTTCATTAGAACTTTAAACATTTACTACAATTTGTTTTGAACTGTGCTTTCCCCCTCCCATTTTACATCTTGTAGATCCTTATCAGAATATAAAGATAAACTTCATTTTTTAGTGTTTGGCAATTTTGAGATGAAAGATAAATGGCCTATGGAAAGAACAAGGTACACAAAGATAATATTTACAAAAATATATTTTTGAAGTTACAGAACACTACGGCTGAAAAACACGTGTTTTCAACTTAATTATAGTAGTCATGGGGAGAAAAAATCCTACTGGTTAAACAAGAAACATAGTATGAATATATTCCTAGAATTCAAAGATATACAACCCCAAAGTTAACTCCCTAGGTTATTATAAGTATTGAATTTAAAGCCTCATCTTCTGTCTAGAGCTCTTTTCATTATATCATTATGAATCAGGTGATAAAATGCTTTTGCTAACGTGTAGTTTTAAACCCCGTAAGGTTAAATCTGGTAGCAATACTAATTTGGAATT